TAGCTGGGACCACAGGTGCCCGCCACAACGCCCGGCTATTTTTTTTTTTTTTTTGGTTGCAGCTGTTGTTGTTTGGCAGGCCTGGGCTGGATTTGAACCTGCCACCTTAGGTGTATGTGGCTGGGGCCTTAGCCACTTGAGCCACATGTGCCGAGCTGATTTTTCTATTTTCTGTAGCAATGGGGCTCTCTTGCTCAGGCTGATCTCAACTTCTGAGCTCAAGGATTCCTCCTGCCTTTGTCTCCCAGAATATTAGTATTATAGCTACTGTGTGCAGCCCAAATCCAATGTTTCTTTTCCTTAAAGTTTAAAGATTCAAAATATTTTATAAATATAATTTTTATTCAATAATGCTCATTTTATGATTTTTAAAGTAATACATGATCAGGGTAGAAAAAATTTAAAAAAATCATTCAATCTATGTGACCAAATTTATGTACTCATAAATATTATGTGGAGCCTTTCCTGTAATCTGTTATCTCAATTTCAAAGTGTTAACTGTTACTGATTATTCTCGGTGTAAAATAACCTAGAAAATAAGAAAGGAAATGTACTGCCACTTACAGTTAATTTTAGTATTTATTCTTGATTTTTCTCTAAATTGAATTAGTTCAGTATGTATTTACTGAATGCCTGCAACATAACAGATACTGTGCCAGCAACTGTAGTGCAACTTAGTTAAAATAGATATGGTGTCTGTCCTTATGAAGCCTGTAATCCAGAGTGGAAGGCATTAAGTGAGTAATCATTAAAACAAAAAAGAAAATTTGTGACAAGTGCCATCCCTAATCTATGTGTATATGACTTAATAAAAGGAAAAAAAAGTGTCATCATAAATTAAGAGTGTTTATATGGTTTTGCATTTTACTTTTCCAGTTACATTGTGAACACTTTCCCATGTTATTAAATTCCTCGAAAACTTGACAGTTCATGACTATGTAATATTATTCTTATAGACATTCCATTGTATAAATATTAAAAATATGATTTATCCTACTTTGTTGCACAAAGATCAAAACTGTAAGTTTACAACTCTATTTGGATATATTCAAAAACATACAAGAATAACTGATTCATTTTCACAATTATAACAACACTGATGAGTATCTTATACATATATCTTTGAGCTGTACGTCTGTAAATACTTGCTTAGAATTGGCTTTTGGAAGTAAAATTACTGGTCAAAAAGGTATAAAAAATTTTTTTTTTTCTAAAGAGACAGAGTCTCACTTTGTTGCCCTCAGTAGAGTGCAGTGGTGTCACAGCTCACAGCAGCCTCCAACTCTTGGGCTTAAGCAATTGATTCTCTTGCCTTAGCCTCCCAAATAACTAGGACTACAGGTGCCTGCCACAACACCTGGCTATTTTCTTTTGTTGTTGCAGTTTGGCCAGGGTTGGCTCAACCCCTCGGTATATGGGGCTGGTGCTCTACTCACTGCGCCACAGGTGACACCTGAGGTATAAAAAATTTTAAAGTTGGGCAGTGCCCGTGGCTCAGTGAGTAGGGCGCATATACCGAGGGTGGCGGGTTCAAACCGGGTCCGGCCAAATTGCAACAACAAAAAAAATAGTGAGGTGTTGTGGCAGGCACCTGTAGTCTCAGCTACTCGGGAGGCTAAGGCAAGAGAATCGCCTAAGCCCAGGAACTGGAGGTTGCTGTGTGCTGTGATGCCACGGTACTCTACTGAGGGCCATAAAGTGAGATCTGTCCTAAAAAAAAAAAAAAAAAAGAAATTTTAAAGTATTTGAAACATACTGTCAAACTATGTTATATAATTTAGTACTAAGCAAAATAATTTTTGGCAGTTAACCTTTGTTATATAGTGCTTGTTTTATAATAAGCACCACTTTAAGTGCCTTGTATTTTATTAACTCATTTGATCATCACAGTAACACTATGAGATCATTTCTATTCATTATCTCTTATTTCATAGATGAGGAAGCAAACAGATTTAACAACTTGCCCAGTGTTACATAGGATTTAAAACTGGAAAGTTTGCCTCTAGAATTTTCCCCTTAAAATGCCATAAGGTTTCTCAGAGATATGAGATCCGGGGGGTGCCTGTGGTTCAAGGAGTAGGGCGCTGGCCCCATATACCGCAGGTGGTGGATTCAAACCTGGCCGCAGCCACAAACTGCGGAAAAAAAAAAAATTTCTTAGATCCTAAACAATTTCTAGCTGTTTAGCTAGAAAGCCAACAAATATTTACTGAGTACTTACTTTGTGCCAGATACTGTGTGTGGCACTATGAGTATGACAGGCAAAAAGAGTGGCATAAACCCACATGATTTGCTTGAATGAAAAAATTATTTTGATAACTTACTGGCTTTCAGACATCTTACTCTTGGCTAATCAAGAACAGCAAAATGCTGGAAACTGAAAAGAAGACCCTTTGTTCTATATAAAGTTTGTATATTCATATATTGTAAGCATGTAATTTTGATAATTTTTTGTGATAATGAACATGATTACTATAGAAATTAAAAAAAAATTAAAAAAAGTATTAAAAAGTTAAATCTCACCCAATTTTGCTATCTAGAGATAACCACTGTAAATATTTTGGTGTATTTCTTTATATGATTTTTTTCTATGTATCTATAAATACATGAAACAAAAATAAAATTTGAATGTTATATGTATAATGTTCTTTTCTTGTGTCTGCTAAAGAGCAATGTTCTATCTTTTTTATTTCCATGTTGTGAGCATTTTACCTACATTTTTAAAAGATTTAATTTCATTTGAGCAGCATATTTAACTATACGGATAGATGTACTGTATTTAATCATTCCCATATTGCTGGATACTTTTTTCAAGAATTTTTTGCTGTAACATGCTTTGCTGAATGCTCTTAACATACTAAGATTGATTTCCTGAGGAGGACTAGGAGCTGAGGAGTTCTGAACCAAACAGTATTTTTAAGGTTCCTGACATAAGCTGCCACTGTCCTGAAGGATGTGCTAACTAATACTTTCATAAATAACCATTTCTGAATTTGGTCTTCTTTTTTTTTTTTGAGACAGAGCCTCAAGCTATCCCCTTGGGTAGAGTGCCATGGCATCACAGCTCACAGCAACCTCCAACTCCTGGGCTCAAGCGAGTCTCCTGCCTCAGCCTCCCAAGTAGCTAGGACCACAGGCGCCCACCACAGCGCCTGGCTATTTTTTGGTTGCAGCCATCATTGTTGTTTTGGCAGGCCTGGTTTTGAACCCACCACCTTAGGTGTTTGTGGCTGGTGCCTTAGCCACTTGAGCCACAGGCGCCGAGCCAGGTCTTCTTAGTTAACAATGATACTGTCATTCTATTCCACTTTTCCATTTAATTCCTCTCCTGGCTTGTATTTCTGTTGCAGTCTAAAACTGACTGAACAGGGCCAGGTGCAGTAGTGGCTCATGCCTACAATCCCAGCACTCTAGGAGGCCGAGGTAGGCAGAATGCTTGAGCTCAGGAGTTTGAGACCAGCTTGAGCAAGAGCAAGACCCTTTCTCTAAAGAGCCAGGTGTTATGGTGGGTGCCTATATTCCCAGCTACTTGGGAGGCTGAGGCAAGAGAATCACTTGAGCCCAAGAGTTTGAGGCTGCTGTGAGCTATGATGTCACAGCACTCTATCAGGGGTGACTGAGTGAGACCCTGTCTCAAAAAAATAAAAATAAATAAAACTGACTGAACAAATATTAACTGACTACTTACCCTGTGTCAGGTACTGTGCGTGGCACTCTAGAGTATGACAGGCAAAAGGAGCTGCATAAACCCACGACCTGGTGAGTGATGAAGGTGCTCTTGCTGTGCTGCTCCGCCTCTTTCCCACAGCCCCTCCTCTCTTTTAAATAAGTTTATTATAAATTTTATTTTTGTGGCTAAGAATTAGACTGAACTTCAGAGTACTAAAAAAGTACTAAAAATTAAAATGATCTTGGATCTAAAAACTGTAACAGGGCTTACTTACCAGAAAGGCATTGGATAGGCAAAACGTTCTCTCAAATCGACACTCATAAAAGGAACATATTCTATACCATTTATTTTTGATGTTGTCCTATAAGACACAAGGGAGAAAAAAACCTAACATACATGTTGCAAGTTTATCTTAATTTCCAATCTTAAACCCTTTAATATTTAAATGATAAGATATAGTGCTGTATTAAAATTAAACTGATAACCTCATATTGCTACAATCTTTTTTTGAACAAAATTTTTATAAAGTAATTGAATACCAGAAAATAACTGATTCAGTTCAACTCAGTATGAGTATTCTTTCAAAACAAACATTCCTCCCCACCAAAAACATAAAACAAACATCCCTTACAACAAAATTCTCATCTCTAGAAGTAATGGAAGAATTCTTGACACTAAGACACAAAGTCTATTCTATCCCCAAATTTGAAAAGCCTGACATTAACAATTCTAAAAAATATCTTCTTTGTATTTTCTGGTTATGGGAAGATGAAACAGGTCATGAAAGGAGGAAGTGTTACTGACACCAGCTAGGGTCTGTTGACAAACTAACGAAATAAGGTTTGTAGGTGCTTTGTGTATTTCCTCCTTGTTTTGTATATATGTTTATGTGTACATGGTAACTATTTCCCTTCTATATCTGTTTCTATCCTTATTTTATTTATAAGAAGTTGCAGGGTAACTTCACAATTTAATCTTTAGTTAACAATATTCAGTGAATTTGAGGACTGATTAACATAACAACTAATACAATGACTGCTGGGACTATGTGTCTCCTTGTTTTGGGGAGATAATGAAAACTTTTCACTTGTATGAAGGACAAATGCATTTTGTTAGGGGAAAACACAGATGTTGTTCTGTTGAATTTCAAACGTGTGTAGAACGGAGCATGTTGATGCTGAGCAACCCAAGTGCTGGACTTAATAAATTTAGTGTCTCTCAGCTCCCAAACTACCTTTCTTTGTCCTGCTTTGTGCTGTGTTGCTTCTTATACAATTTTTGCTCGGCAAAAATTAGCAGGAGGAGAATTAAAATCTTTATCAGGAAAGAAAAATGCTCTCACTGAACCCGGGAAGAAACCCTTTCAGTTCAATTTTATAGCATGTCCACACTGAGTGGCAGTAATGGTACCCTCAACTTGGAAAAGTATTGCATAGATAACATTGCTTAAAATGTGTTTACACAATAACTAAGAACATGCCGTGAAGGCTATGTTAACCAGTTTGATGAAAATATTTCTAATTGTATATAAAACCAGCACATTGTACCCCATGATTACATTATTGTACACTGCTATGATTTAATAAAAAAAAGTGTTTACATTTTTTGTTATGTTCTGTATTATGTGTAGTAAAAATGTTAATATTAAAATAGAACAATTTTTAACTATTTCAAGTGGCCATTTCACAACGATAAAATTTATATTTGCATAATAGCACAACACACTATGGCAAAGATGTAAATATAATTCTACAAACTTAACGATAAGAAAATTACCTACCTTGATTATGCTAATAAAATCTTTCATTACAATGAGTTACAAACTGATTTACCTGAGCACTTCTATTTCTTCTGCTGTGTATCTCTGTCCTTGTGCATCACATGACTGTGGACTTATAAAAGGCTGAGGTCTTTCAAGGAAGGGGTTAGTTCCTAGTGGAAAATGCGTCCTTGTTGGAGGTGGCTTTGGTTTAATATTTGTTGATTTGATTTTGCAAAACGGCTTTGTCAAAGGTTCACTCAATGCTTCTGCTCTATAACAGAGACAGGCACTGAAAAACTGTTCTAGTTTTTCTTCTCACATTCAAGCTTTTCAGGAAACAAAATTTACTTTAAGAGTCAGTTAAGGAACATTCCTAATGTAAAATCAGTATATAAAATTCTAACATACTAGTCAACATTTTACTACTTAAGTTACTCGCAAAGGTTCTTGCAAACAACATTCTCCTAACAATATTAAATGAACATTTATTGTACATCAGACACTATGCCAAGCAAGGGCTTTACCAGAATGCATAAAACAATCCCTGCCCTTAAAGTGCTTATAGTGCTGTAGGGAAAGATAACTGCATTACAAATGACAGATGGTAAGACAGAAACATTAAGTTACAAGTGAACACATACACTACAGAAGTTACTGACTTAATGACTAAGAAGAGAGGGTGAAGTCAGGGAAGCCTGCTCTGAACTGAGCATGAGCTGCAGAGGATTTCATGTGGGAGGTGAGGAATCCTAAGAGAAGAACATGTGCAAATGCCCCTGTAAAAGTGCAAACAGGCAACAGTAGATAAGATGCAAGAGGAAGGGGTTAGGTCATGAAAGGCCCCACATAATATGCAAGGGAATTTTTACTTTGTTCTGTCAAAGAACAAGCTAAAAAACAGAAATTCTTAACCCGAGGTCCATATATGAGAGCTTCAGGAATCTTGTGAACACTCTGAATTTACATGCAAAAAAAATTTTTATGTCCATTTTCCTAGAGAGAAGATCCACAATTTTCAACAGATTCTCAAAGAACCTCAAGACTGACCCAACCCCTTCTGCTTAGGATGCACTGAAGAATACTTGATGGGTTATCCACACAGGTAGTAAAAGTCATCTGTGATTCTGCCTGGTGAAAGAAGTCAAGATGGAGACAACAACTAGGTGTCAAGTGCTCACATGTTCATGAATTTAAGGAAACTAAAGATAGTAGATGATGGTAATGAAAAGGAAGGATGGCTGCTATAGCTCAATAAAAAAAGAAGGGCTAGGGGTGGTATAGTGATCTATTCAGAGCCTGAAAATGAGATGATTTTATTAATCCATATATAGGTATAAAGGCATTTTTCACTCTTTTCCTTTGTTTACAATACCTTTTCTTTCTTTCTTTTTTTTTTTTTTTGAGACAGAGCCTCAAGCTATCCCCCTGGGTAGAGTGCTGCGGTATCACAGCTCACAGCAACCTCCAACTCCTGGGCTCAAGCGAGTCTCCTGCCTCCGCCTCCCAAGTAGCTGGGACCACAGGCGCCCGCCACAACGCCCGGCTATGTTTTGGTTGCAGCCATCATTGTTGTTTTGGCAGGCCCTGGGCTGGATTCGAATGCACTACCTTAGGTGTATGTGGCTGGTGCCTTAGCCACTTGAGCTACAGGCTCCGAGCCTACAATACTTCTTCAAGAGGTATGATTCTCTTGTGCAAATTCATTCCTTCTGTTAACAAACACCTACTAAGCACATAATATATACGAGGCATTCTGCTAGGTACTTGGTTATTACATTGAACAATATAGACAAAATTCTCTGCCCTGAAAACTTACATTTTCGGGGTGGGAGTTGGAGGGGACATGGGCATTAACAACAAATATAACAAGCTAGCAAATCTCACATACCTTAGAAGTAATAAAAGATATGGAAAAGAATACTACAATAGTAAGCAGGATGACAGTGCAGAGGGAGATTCACTTTTAAACATAATAGTTAGGGCAATCCTCATTGAAAAGTTGATGTTTGAGCTAAGACGTAAAGGAGCTATACACAATGTATAATTTGAGGCACGTATATTCTCAATTTTTCTATTTTAGTAATAGATCTTCAAGGCTCCCTGGAAGTTCTCCTTGGAAGTTTGATATTATATAATAGAAGGGAAGTCTCCCATTTCAAATATCATAATCATTTCTGCTCTATACACAGTAAAAACCAAAAATATTTCTTGACAGATTTGTTACTTCTTGAGGTTGAAGCAGGAAGAAGATAAATTCACTCAAAGGAAGAAAGCAGGTTTGTTCAGGATCTCAGTTTAAAGATGGAGGTTTGTTACTGTGACCTCTGCCACACGTTTAGATCAGTCTGTTACATGATACAATATATGCCGACCATGGATAAGTGACCAAAACTCACCTATCTAGTGCCTGTCGAGCCAACTGTTTCAGTTTATTTTGCAGGGCTTTATCAGCAGTTTCATAAGACTTAAGAGAAAGAAAAAGACAGATATTCTGAAGCATAATTTTTTAAAAATTTGTCTGATACATTTTTCTAAGTAAAAAAATTATAATGCACATTATACTTCTTGAAATTATAAGAGAATACACGAAGATGACATTTTAATTTCATCCTTAAATGTATCATTTAAAACAGTGTTGAAAACGTCACTGAGGTTATGTTAAAACCACTTAATGTAGAGAAGTGGTAACTGGACCACAACTGTTCAACCACAAGGTCATGGAAGGCTGAGTGGCAGGAACCTCAGAATACTAGCACTTAATTGGGGTCTCAGGTAACTACAGGAATCAAACTGGGATGTTTCTAGGGCTGGGTGTGGTGGCTCACGCCTGTAATCCTAGTACCCTGGAAGTCCGAGGTGGGTGGATTGCCTGAGCTCACAGTTCGACCAGCCAGAGCCAGAGCAAGACCTCATCTCTAAAAAAGAGCCAGGCATTGAGCCAGGTGCCTATAGTCCCAGCTACTTGGGAGGCTGACACAAGACAATTGCTTGAGCCTAAGAGTTTGAGGCTGCTGTGAACTGAGACACCACAGCACTCTACCGAGGGCCACAAAGTGAGACTCTGTCTCAATCAAAACTAAAAAAAACCTAGGATGTTTCTTTGAATAAGAGACCCTGCACCCAAAAGCCAACCCTCTGAAAGCACTGGGAACACCGGTCTGTACTACTTCATCTCATCTTCCTGTCAGATTCACTGCTCTCTGATGCATGAAATGTCCCTTGAAGCTACCATCCTAATCAAGGCTCCTCAGAGAGAAGGAAAAATCACTCAGCATGTAGACTTTACAGGGCAAATTAGAAAAGCTCTCTTAAACTACTACCTTACTTTTAGTAAGGTCCTCATGTACTTTTTAGTGTTTGAGATAGAGGAAAAAAAAGGAAGTTTATTTTAAATTAATAGATTTGTGATGTTGAATTCTTTCTAAACTAAGTTAATTTTGTTTATTAGGGTATAAAAAGTTTAAAAAATAGGTCTTGTAATTCAAAAAATACTTAGTGACTCAATGCTGCCAAAATAAACCCTTTTTTTCTGAGATAAGATCTTGTTTTGTCACCCAGTCTGCTAGAATGCAGTGGCCAATGACAGCTTACTGCAACCTTGAACTCCTGGGTTCAAGGGATCCTCCTTCCTCAGCCTCCCAAGTGTCTGGAACTACTCATCACCACCACGATCAGCTAATTTTAAATTTTTTGTAAAGATAGGGGCCCCCTGTTGCCCAGACTGATCCCAAACTCTTGGTTTTAAATGGTCCTCCTCCCTTGGTCTCCCAACATGCTGGGATTACAGATGTGAGCCACCACATCTGGTCTCAAAGCTGTCAAAATATTAACAAGATACAAAAACCCATTATTAACCTTCTACTTCACAATTTTCTGAGGAATAACTTAGTTACATTTATAAGGATAGAATAACTTTTGAAGAAGTTATTAAATAAAATTTACTAGTTTAAGAAAAGACATTTCTTAGGATAATTCCACAAAATTTAAAAATATAGTTATACATACGGTTTTCAGACAGAGATCTACAGCTTCTGTATACAATTCTATAGCATCTTCAACATTCTCTTTTTCATCTTCATCAAAAGCTTGTGTAACAAGGAAATGGGCACGTTCTAAGTCCAACTGATGTTTTGACTTCAAAGGATCAGCACTCTTTGACTGAACTAGGATAGGAAAAAAAGCCTATGTTGAAGGAATGCTACCTAAACATAGCCAGGGTACAACATGTAAATACATTTAAGACATTATAAATCTGCATATAAAAAGGTTGGCAAGGTTAAAAAAAAAAAAAAGAAAAGCATCCTTAAAAAGGACTAATTTCTCCCCTTCTCTTTTTAATCTTAAGGCCTACAAAAAAGGCCTCCAGTTGTTTAATCACACAATAGACGCAAGAGATGAGGAATATTAAAAATGTACTATTAAAAAATTTTTCTCCCTACCAGCACTCTCTTTGCTTAAACTCCATTATATTTTAATGTAATTATTTTTTTTCAGTACAGATAATAATTGTGTAATATACTAGGCTTTAATGGTACAGTTCTAGATTTTCCTACTCACCTAGGCCCAGAGTTAGTTACCATATATTTTTACTGCTCTTTGAAGTATTTCCATTTGTGTCTAATATAAAGACACATATATTTATAAAGAATGTATATCCAGAATATATAAAGATCTCTTACTACTTGATAATAAAAAGACAACCCACTTAAAAAGTGGGCAAAGGATCTAGGCTGACATTCTTCCAAAGAAGATATTGAAAAGGTTAACTGGCATCGGAGAAGATATTCATCAGCTATCAAGAAAATGCAAATCATGGTTCGGTGCCTGTAACACAGTGGTTGTGGCGGCAGCCACATACACTGAGGCTGGTGGGTTAGAACCTGGCCCAGGCCAGCTAAGCAACAATGACAACTGCAACAGAAAAATAGCTGGGCATTGTGGCAGGCACCCGTAGTCCCAGCTACTTGGGAGGCT